GATTTAAAACAGGCCAGGAAGCCAAATTTGTTTTGTAGTCATGCAAGTTCCAGGCCAAGAATGATGCCCTGCACAAACAGTCCTGGCCTATGAGTAGCAGCTCTGACTTACTTTGCATTAAATAAATGCATTCTAAGAACTGCTGAAAATTTCCACTCGAGCAATATATTTTAAACAGGTTTACAGCTTTCTCCACACAATAAACTAGCTCAAAATATGGGCACTGAAAACTACTTGATTTCATACCTAAATCTTCACCCTTTCTGTTCTTCTCTAAGTCCAGCCCCGTGAAATTCCAGCAAGAGATTTCTTTAGTGCATCTGCTTCAGCCTGGCTTCAAAAGAAGTATCTGAAAGTGCACCAAAATTCCCCCATTTCAAGACTTTTAAGAAAATCCCTCTGACACTCTAAGTGCTGAGAACATTCTGAGGGTATGAACATTCAGACTCAAACTCTGCCAGCATAAAGACTTTTTTTTTAAAAAACAATCTTGCTATATTTCGGGTTTTACATTTATCTTCAATTCCAGAAGACATTAAAATACATTCTTTGAATATATATAGGAATGTGCAGTTAAAACTTCTCTAGATCTGCTAAATTGTAAAAGATCCTCTGGACCTTACCCTACCAGGCTGCTCCAGGTCTAAACTATCACTGACTTCTCTGGAAGACTTTTCAGATTAAGTTCTGCAGGTCCAGAAAATCCTCATGCAATAAAATGCTGAAAACATAAAAATGTCTTTGTTTTAAAATGAACAGGATGTCTATAAATTAGTTGGATGTGCCTGATAACTTACAAAATTGTTTAAAGGCAGAGTTTAAATAAGCAGCCAAGTTTTCAGCAGATGCTTCAGGATGCCTGACACCCAACAGTTCTGAAAGATCCATCTACTCAGATGCTGAAATACAGGTTTTTCTTTTTTTCTTTTCTTTTTTTTTTTTTTTTTGGGGGGTTGGGGGGGTGGGGGGGAGTGAAGAAAAAGAGTCTAACATTTGCCCATATTACATAGAACCTAAAAAAAACCCCAGTGGTGGAATTTTTGTTTTCTTAGTGAGATGCCTTTTTTTCCTAAGATGAAGAGGATTCACTTTCATTCTTTTCCTCCATGCAGGTACATTTATTATTGAATAAACACTATCATGTGCTCAGTGTGATTAAAAAAAGAAATGTAAGCAGGTCTTGCACTCTTGTAGCTCACAAGAGAAAACAGAAATCCCAAGAGATGGCATGGGGGATAGGACCTGCTTCCACCATCTCTAAAAGGCATAAAAGCATTTTTTTCCTGTTTCTGTTGTGCTCTGTAGTTATGATGTTTCTCCAGCACAGGTAAAAGAAGAAGAACACTTTAACTAAATTTCTAATATATGATCCTGGAGAAATACTTGTTTAATAATTGTGGGTGTGTGTGTTTGAGTTTAGTTCTTGTAATACATCCACATTTTTAATGGGATGTGTTACAACCTTGTGGTTTCAGAGAAACTTGATTAGCAGCTCACCCTCCAATACTGGCATGGTGTAAGATTATTTTAAGTTAGGCTTTTGCACTCTCCCAAAAGCTGTGTTTGGAACAGCATCACTACTTACTATTAAATTTAAATATTAAACCAGTTGTGTTCTACCACAGATATCAAATGGGGAGTAGCTGAATGCCCATTTCCAGATGCTTGTAGCTACTGTTACAGAAAATTGAATTCAGCTGCACCCTGGAAATTGCTTTTGAAATGTCTTTACAAACAGAGAAAAAGATTTAGCTACAATAATATTCTTCTCATGTTCCAAATACTTATATTTTGAAAACCTCAACACAACAGAAATTATATAAAGAATTCTTATTTGACATATTAAAGGCACAACGTTTTAAATTTCATTACTGCTTTCTTGACTGTGTGTCACAATTTCTGTAAAGATCAGGTTCTTGTGCTGAATTGGGAATGTCTTCACTGGGATGAATCTATTGTTTCCCTGCTGAGTTTGGTGGTTTCAGTTTGTAGCCTGCTAAAAAGTAGGAAGTTCTGCTTGAAAAATTGCAATAAACAAAACCCTCTCATTCTGCAATGTCTGTGGAGAGGAGCCCTTGAGCAGCAGCGAGGATGGCACAGACTTTCCATCCAAGCCAGCAAAAGGAGCTGGTAGCACATTGCCACAGCCTGTCAGAGGAGGCTGTGCCCATTCCTCGATTACCTGAGCTGCTCCCCTTAGTCAAATATTTGCCTTGAAGCCAAGGGAAGACAGAACTGAAAAAGGAGAATTTGTACACAGGAGCTTGACAGGCACAGAGTGGCTGTGGGGAAAAGGCACAGAAAATCACAAGGTAAACATTTCTCTGGACTCCCAAGTCAAACCTGCTGTTGGTGCAAGGAGTGAAATCTGCACTTTATCCACACTCTATCCACGCTGTATCTGCATCTTACCTACCCTCTATCCACACTGTATCTGTATTTTATCCATACTCTATCTGTATTTTACCTACCCTCTATCCACGCTGTATCTGCATTTTACCTACCCTCTGTCCACCCCACACCCACCTCCACCTGCCCTCTCTGCACCTGCTCTCAGGTAGCACATCCAGAGCTCTGTCTCACCCATCAGCTGGCTGGATCAGCCAAGTCACTGTCACACACAGTTGTAACTGAAAGGAGATTTTGGAAGAAAAGAAGAGAAATTTTGCTCCACGTTTACCTTAGGTAAACAACACTGTACAATCTGCATTCTCTAACACTTACTTTACAAAGCACGTTAATGACTTGGAAAAAAAAAAAACCCAAACGAATGCAGATGTGTAGGAGGAGCTCCTTTTATTACTCAAAATGTTTGCCAGCTTTAATATCAGCCTGCTGAAGTTTTGTAAAGGGAAGCCTCACAGATGCACAGGGCACACACGTGGGATGCACCTGCTGCCAACAATTCCCAGGTAATATCTTAACTAGAAATAAGACTGTGACTTTCATGATATTTCCTCCTCTGTATGTTAAGTCAATGACCTATTTAAATGTGTTGGCAGCAATTTACATGTCTTGTGATTTTATATTTCACAAAGAAATAGTGTGTTTTGTGTTATTTACATTAAAAAGACATACTATGTAAAACTTCACCTTTGTTAAAAATCACTTTATCCTAAGTATTTAAATTATTTCATGCTCTCAAAAGGCACAATTATGTATCTAATGAGAACTTCCATTCAGTGTTACACATAACACAAAAAGAGAAAAAATGTTTGAGACAGCAATGATAATATTTTAAATATGTTGGCATAGGAAAGTAGATGTCTTTTTTCTTCACTAAACTGACAGTTCAGTTCTGAAACTTTATTTTGAAAAGATTTTAAAAGGATTTGTGTCTTTAGAAATAAAAAATATAACAGGCCTATCTAAAAAATATAGAAGAGAAAACCTGATTGTTACTACTAATGAAATAGCTGATGACAAAATAGTAGTCTTTTTGATTTTGTTCACAAAAAATAAACTGGTAGTGACAGGATATGATGGATAGATTTGACATCCTGGCAAATCACTGTCATTGATTCAATTATTCTAATTCAGAATAAAAGCTGTATACAGTATGTGTTTATGCTACAGTGGAGTTTTTTAAGTGATTGACATTCATCATATTAGTTAGACAGTTTTAAAAGCTATGTCTTTGTTTTACACAGTGTTGTCAAGAAAAAAAATAAAGTAGAACCTGGATTGCAGGAAAAAAAATAAAAAAGCAAACCACTTCCCCAAGTCTTCCTTCCAAACCCATCAAAATATGTTACCATTATTGCATCCTATTAACACGTTCTTTGAAGACTCAATTTCACTCCAGCCATGTAATACACTATTATAAAGACTAAATTTTGAAACTGTAATGCAATCTTACAGCTGGGTGGCTTGGAAGTTCTGCAGAGAAGAAGATATTACCTTTCAAAATGGAAGTCAGCCTCAGAAGAAAGAAATGCAAACCACTTTAATTCCCAGGTCAGCTTTGCTTCACTGTTCCTTTGTTTGATGAGAGAGACACAGGGATACAAACAGAACAGCTCTAAGTTCACAAATTGTATATCTGAGGGTACAAAAGCCTGAATTATTGTGTATTCTGCCCTGCCTTAGACCAGCTCGCTGTGAATCCTTCCCCGAGCTCAAATGCACTCTTCTGCTTTCCCAGCATTAATGTGGCTGTCGGTTTGAATTTCAATCTTGAATTATGCCTGTTGACATAATTTCATAGTGCTGACTTCAATTGTTTAGGATTACTGTTTTGAACTGCACAAGGAAATCAATTCTTTCCTCTCTGGTTAGGAAATTCCATTCAAGTGCATTTTAATGCATGTAGTAAGCCATAAGGCAAAGTAATTATCTATAATATATTCTGATTTAACCCCCCCATCCTCAATTACTGGCATATTAAAATAAAAACTATCTTATATATTACAAATTTATTATTACATATTTAATAAAATAATGTAGAGATTGTCTGAAATTTAAGAATGGTATTTCAATTACAGAAATGGATGTTTTTAGAAGTGTGTAGTTTGCTGTTTGAATAACACATGACAACGAATTGCTTAGTTCCATTCCTTTATTTCAATAAACTCATTATTTGTACAAAATATTATATGTGAGTATATAAAAAATTATTCTGGGAAAAATATCCTTTTATTTTTAAAGTAAAAAAAAAAAAAAAAGAAATGAAAGGGTAATTGCAATTTTTGTATTTTAAGGAAAGGAACAAGATACAACCTGTTTCCAATGGAGCAGAACAATGGCAGGACCCAACATAACAGAAAAGCAAAATCCAAACAAGACCAAAATAAGTACAAAGAAACCAAACACACACACACACGCACAGACACACACACACACAGGGAAAAAAAAAAAAAAAAAAAAAGGCATCATATGACAACATGTATTTTTAAAGACTGCTGGGTCCAATCATTAAGAAAAACATTTCTAGAAGTCATTAGCAGTGGTAATGAGAGTGTCCCGGGGATGTGAGGGGAGCTGCTGAGTGAGGAGGGATCTCAGAAGTCCAGGTGCCCCCGGCCCCCGGCACATCCCGAGCTCAGCGCTCGGGCGCGTCCTGCCAGCTCCGGTTTGCTCGCGCTGCTCTCCGTGTCTGACAAGGCTGGAGGCAAATGCAGCCGCTGTGGAAGGAGATTTTCAGGAGGGAGAGGCACGGAGAGAGAGGGAGAGAGGGGGAAAAACATGGAGAGAGAGAAAAAAAAAAAGCAGGAGAATTGATTTTGCAGAGCGTATTTGGAAATGCAGTCTTTTCCCTGACTGAGCCGTGTGTACTCACACAAATAAAGCCCTTCCCAGACACTCTTCCAGGCTGACCTGGCCACACTTTTGTGTGTTTGCAATATATTGGATTCTGTAAATTGGAACAGATCTTTTCCTTATGAAAATTTTCTGAACAAAATACAAATTTGCTCAAGGTATTTAATTATATCTAAAGGAATTTTCCCTTTAAAAACCAGTGTTTCATCTGCACATCAACCTGTACATCAAATGATTTGATTTCTATAGCACTGCAGCGTAAGTATGGTTTTATTTTAAATATGCACACACGGGGACAAGAGTCTGAAAATAAATTATATGATGGTCAGAATATGAAAAGGGCTCACCCTGATTTCACACTATTCTGTTACATGTTTCCTCTTCATATTCTACTGATAGTGGCTAATAAAACCAAGCAGTGACAGTAGTTGCATTTGTATAAGGCAATCATATATGTTAATCAAAGCCTGCCCTCCCCAGTGAGTTGTAGGAACATTAAATCCAGTTTACAGATGGGGAAACAGAGACAGAGGTTACATGGCTGCCCACAAGCACATGGTCCTTGCACAATAAACCTTGTTTTCCAACTATGACAAAAATATTTCCACCCTCCCTCTGAGAGTCCTTTACACTGGAGATATATAAAAAACATGACATTACCATTTAGCTTTTGTAAAGTAAGGTGAAAATTAATGTAAAACTGAGGCTTTACTTGCTTAATTACTGGCTTGCTTTTGGACACAGTGAGGCACTGGAAGCTGGTCAGATGAGACAGCTGAGCATCTTCTGCACAGTGCAATAATTTATGAAACTGGTATCATGGAAGAAGCATATTTCTTGAAAGATTTAGTAGGCAAAGGCTAAACTGGGTGGTTCTTTTAAAATGCACACACTTCTGAAGGGAACAGAACAGTAATGGCTGCAAAACTCTATTAGTGGCAGTGTGGACTATCCCTATTCTCAGCTTTTGCTACATTTTTGCTTTTATCACATGTAAACACAGCTTCCTTTTCTTCAATACTTTTGGAACCTCTGTATCATAAGAATTTGATTGAAAAGCACAAGAAATCTCTGAATTTACAGTGAGCTGACTGTTGAATTCCTTGCTGGTTCTGAGATTGTGCAGCTGGGTGTGACTTGAGAGATGTTCCCAAGGGCTTCCCACCACTGGCCACTCCTGGCTCTGGGCAGCACTGGGAGAAGAGTTGTGTTGTTATTTTCTCCAAGGGAAAGAAATGCACAAAGTAATGCATAAGGAGCAGGAAAGCCCGTGCCCAGGGTGAGATGCCCCAGTGCTGAAACAGGAGAAAGGTGTGTATTTATTGACAGCATTTTGCCTGTGAAGCACAACCCACACATCAACCCCCAGTCGTTGTAAATGCCCACAGGAACTCTGCAGCTCTGACATTTCACTGCTTTAAACCAGTGCTGTGGCAGAGCATCCTTCACTCACAGCTCTGCCCTGATACAAGGGAGGTTAAGCCTGGCTGTGGCTGGGGACAGCAGCCCATGATGCCTCAGTTCTGCCTCAGTTCTGCCTCAACACAAGACAAACAGGGCACCAGCCTTTCTCCCCTGGCTGCTGAGCAAAATGTTTGCTGGGAAGAGCCAATGTACAACTGGGATTGCGTGGGAGGGGCTGCAACCACTGAAAAGCAGAGGAGAAGGAGAAGCTGGGAAGTACAGGGCAGCACTTGGCAGATCCTTCCATCACATCTTCTTCCTAAAACAGTGCACAGTGCTTTGCTGGCAGGGCCATGTGGGAGGTGGAGAGACAAGTGAAGCAATCCAACCTTCTCCCACTCCCTGCTGCCATCTCTGTGCCCTCACCAGGAGCAGGAGAGGCTTCCTCTAGGGAACACACAGCTCCACTGCCTCCCTCCTGCAATTACTGACCCTCTGGCAGCTCTGCCAAATGGATTCTGAGCAGGGTGGTGAAGAGCAAACAGAACCAAGACTCAGCAAACTCATCTTACTGCCCAAGTCTCACAGACAGGGAACAGTGCAAACCCTGCCACACTGCCCTGGATGTAAAAGTGTGGTCAGAAAACAAAAAAATCTTTTATGTCAGTGCTGTGTTCATTTGCTAATATTTATTCTAAACAGAAAATAGACAGAAGAATGTCTATAAATTTGCAAAGATTTAGATAGGAAAAGCAAAAAATTAAAGATCCTTAGATTGGAAGTGAATTAGGCTTTTACAGATGTATTTGTTAGGATACAGAATTTCATGATACAGGCATACACTCTCCTTCCCCATCTTCTTCAGTGAAGATGCACAGTGCTCATTTAGTGACTGGCTATTCCTTTAGTGACTGGCTATTCAGTATTTTATTTTCTTGTCACTGTTTACTCTGAACTTTTCTGACATATTTATTGTACACTATTCAAACCTTGTTCTGAAGACAGAATGGCTTTTCAATAGCACATGTCAGTATATAGCACTTGAATGCTTTACAAATACCAACTGTGTTATTTTCCTAATATTCTTGTGAAAGAAGGCAGCAAAGTTACCTCCATTTTAGAGACAGGGAATTGAAGCACATAAAACACATAGCAAACCATATCTACTAATTTCAGAAACAGAATCTGAGGCAGTTAGGACTTGCTTTTCCAGAATATTTAGCATTTTACAGAATTTCACATGTTAAAATGCTCACTTCATTTGCAGCTGAGTGCTTTGTATTTCTTTAAGAAGCCCCAAGTCAGGCACTCAGAAAGCAAGAGACACAAAGTAAAAGTATTGAAACAAAAATGCTGTGTTGAAGCAACATGATCACACAGAAGCTCAGTGGTATTGGCAGAGACACACATCATATCTTCCATTCTAAATCATGAGACCATTCCTCCTGCAATGCTTTCCTCTACAATCCCAACTTTCAAACATGATAAAAAAAATTGCTAATTCTCCAGGAAGCACATTTCACTGCATTTACCACATTCATCCTTAGATCAGATGTATTCTGAACAACAAACCACACCAGAGTCCTTTGAAAACAGCCGAGTATTATCCTGTCATTAAGATCTGAATCACTGGACACACACATGGTCCCTGTGAACAAAGCCTGCACAGGTATTTAAAAATATCATTCCTTACATTTTCTGTGTGGAGAAATTTTCTGTGTGCCCATATACCGGGCTGAAAATATTAATCCTAATAAATATTTTAACACAATTAAAAAATATTCTAAATCTTAAGCCACAAACAAACAGGAAATTCATTGCATGTCATTATACAGGTTAAGCAACTGGCCTTTATTTTTGGCACCAACAGGGACATTGTGGTCATTGGACTAAGGCAGTAAGTGATAGCATGAACAGGCTGTGATCTTTCTGGAACACCAGCACCACAGAACAGACATTTTCACAGATATTTGCTGACCACAGAGAAACAATCACATTTAAAGTCCCAGTTAAGCACAAAATGTTTTCTGGTGCTCAGACTTTTCTGCTGTTTCTAGGCTCTGACCTCCATCCCTTCCATGCTCTCTTTCTCTGATCACTCTGGTAGCAATCAGGATGATTTTGCTCATGTTGGCAATCCCAACCCTTGTCCAGCCCTTCCATCCCACAACTGCTTTTCATGACAAAAATATCTATTCTCTGGATCTCTGCAGTCCCCATTCTCAGCTTTCTGCATCCAAACTCCTCATTCTTGTCCCTGACAGTCCTGTATTTCCTTTGCCTCTCTTTCCATCTCGTGCTCCTGCTCCTAAAGCCTAGGTTCAAATTCAGCACCAGGCTACTCTTCCTTGCCCCCTGGGCTCCTCATCCCCTGGTTTGCTCCCTTCCTCCTCCTCCTCCTCCTCCTCCTCCTCTGAGCATTCTTGACCTGCCCTCCTTTCCCCTTCCTGCCCTCTCCCCAGCCCAGCCTGGGCACAGGCAGTGGCTCCCCTGGTCCTAAGAGCAGAGAAATGCCTGGGGAAGAGCCAAGCTGAATGCACTGAGTGTGCCAAAGAGGTTGGTTTCCACAGGACAGCAAAAACCCATCCCTGGCATAAATGCTAGACAAAAAAATTGTTTTAAATAATTTAACATTTTCACTGAAATATTCCAGAAACACAAAACTTTCTGTAGCCAAGAGCAAGCTGGCAGGGCAACAGAATTTTAAGGCAAAATGGTCATAATGTGGCAAAAGTAAACATGCAAGTGAAAATAGGATCCTATAACTTGGATAACTTGGGATAACTTCTTAAAAATGCATCAATGGAAGGTAAAGTTTATCAGTAAAAAACGAGGGAATGCTGGAGTAAACTTCCTTTGTGCAAAGTTAATTGTGTATCTGCGTTATTACAGTGTGTTTAATTACATGATCACACAATGTTTTCACCCACAGAGGCTGTCAGGAAGGTTTAAACTCGGGATCTGCAGAATCAGACTCAATTTTCACTCCCTGGCTGAAGAAAGAACTGGTTCTGGAAGGATATTATGGAACAGGGCAGAGCTGGGGAAGGGGCTTGGTGTGAGCTGTGGTCTCTGCTTTGGGCAGGAAGGCTTTGCAGGGTAGGAACAATTACACTGAACCCAGCTAAGCACACAGCTTTAGGGCATGCATTAGGAAAGGAAAACAGTTTAGACAAAACTTATTACATACTTTGTGTCTGCTCCTCCCTCTGCCTGAAGAAAACTTCTAATTACTTTATTTGTTCTCAATGGGGGGGAAAAAAAAAGGCAGAGGTGGAAGATGAGATGATGTAAAAGGACAGCTCAGAAGGGACACAGAGCAATCAGTGAGTCCAGTCCCAGCACAGAGGACCAAATATTCTCTGAAGGATTTCTGGGGTGTAAAGATCTACATCATGGCTATTCCAGGAACTTCAAGTGGGCTGCTATGTTTGGTTGGGGTCAATTTATGTTTTAAAAT